ACTGGCAGAGACTGTGGGAGGCACACTTGCTGCCCTGCTTCCTGCCTTCCAGCTGTTGGTGCCACATGGTGATGGGCCTGGGATCTGTCACTGTCTGTGACTGTATGTGACTCTGATGACCCCAGGCACTCAGAGCATGGGAGCAGAGGCCCTCAGTGACATTGCTCCTTCACACAGACCCTCAAGCCAAGAGTCCCTGGACTGGTCCCTCCAAGTGGTCTTCCATGAGGAGCACTGTTTGCTGTCACAGGTTTATCACTACAATCAACCAACATCTGAGAGGACGTGTGGGTAAGCAGCCAGGGCTCAGGATTCAAATCACTGGGAGAGTCTGAGGACTTGTTCTCATGGGCAAGGCCCACATATTGGTGTATGGTGTAATTCCTTGGAAGGCATCAGACTTAGATGATCTGACACTTATCTATCTTCTTATCTGTAGAGATTCCAGGCCTCAGAGGGGTTATTATTTTGTCCAAAGCCATAGATGCTGCTAGTGGCAGAACCAGACCCACATAGCTTTCCTGACTGCATTTCACATGTTAATGGCAGACACTAGTGCTGATGTGCTAATGTGACATTCTGCTCTGTCGCTCATGGAACAAAACCAGTGTCAGTGATGTTAACAGCAGGGGACACACTGTCAGATATATTAGCATTGTGTGCTGCCAGCTGAGTAAGGTGGCTCCTGTGTATTTAAATGCACAAACACACTTTTTGTTTTACTTTGCAAACAATGAGGCCCTACTCTGCTTTTAAATGAAACTATTTATAATTTTTAAAATTAAAATTTTTGGGGGTGACATTGGGATTAATATTATGTGTATTTCTAGTGTGACATACTATGTTACATTATCTGTATATTACATGGTGTTCCCACCACTGAAATTCTGGTCTCTTTCCATCACCATATATTTGACTCCATTTACCCCTTAAAACCCCCATCATCCTTTCTGCTAGTAACCACCATACTGTTGTCTTGGTCTGTGAGTTTTTGTAAAACTATGTATTCTTTTTTTTTTAAATATTTTATTGATTTTTTACAGAGAGGAAGGGAGAGGGATAGAGAGTTAGAAACATCAATGAGAGAGAAACATCGACCAGCTGCCTCCTGCACACCCCCTACTGGGGATGTGCACGCAACCAAGGTACATGCCCTTGACCGGAATCGAACCTGGGACCTTTCAGTCTGCAGGCCGACACTCTATCCACTGAGCCAAACCGGTTAGGGCGAAAACTATGTATTCTTTTATGTGAATATGTTGTTCTCTGGGAGTGTGAGGTCAGCTCTTAACAGTGGGCCTGGAGCAAGCTCTCAGGCAGAAGTGGTCTCAGGACCTGCTGTGCTCACACCAGCCTGGTAGTCTACCCACTCCCTTAAGAGTCCAGGAGCCCTTCATTTCCACTTTCTCTCTCAAAAAGGAAGAATTTGGGGGTTTGTTTTGGTGCTGCATATATTGTTGACAACCACTAAATTCTTCAGTAAGGGGCCTGTGTTCAGAAACTAAAACTAAAGAGAATAAGGTGGAGCTGATTATAGGGTATGCTAGCCTTGGACAGTGAGGTGTTGCTGACAGAGTCAGACAGAGTTTGAAGGCCTTTCTGAAAAATCCATCACTTCACTCATCAGCAGCCTCTGTAGTCCACCTTTGCCAGACATGCATTGGCGGTGGGAAAGACTCTAGTAAACATAAGCTCAGACATAAAGGAAAATTCTAGGATGCTGAGTGGATGGAACATGAGGAGAGCAGGAGAAAAGGTGGAGGAAGAAGAAAGGTGTTGTGTGAGATTCCTAGGGCTGATATAACACAGTACCCCTTACTGTGTAGCTTAAAGCCACAGAAACGTATGGTCCCATAGTTCTGGGGCTCCAGCATCAAAAGGTTGGCAGAGCCACTCTCTCTGAATTGACCATGGGGAGGATCCTTGCTGGTTCCCAACTCGTTGTGGCTGCTGGCAACCCTTGGAGGTCCTTGGCTTGTAGATGCATTGCTCTCATTTCTTGACTGTTGCATTTTACAAGGAGAAACCAGGCTATACCTCCCAAACTGTCTTTGGAAATACAGTGTATTGCTTTCAATCTCTTCTTTCCACCCAGTAGTAGAACATAACTCAGCGACTTCTCTCCCACATTGTATCAAGTATCACATTTCTTCCAGTGTCCAATACCACGGTCCTCACTTTGAACTGAGATCTCACCTTTAATATTCAAATTCCTAACAACAAATTCTTCAAGGATATCTAGGCATTTTCTATCAGTTGCCCCAGAATGCTCCCAGCGTGTATGCATTACCCAATTCCACAACCACATCCATATTTTAAGCATTTCTTTTACAGCAGAACCCCACTTCCTGGTATAAACACTGATCCTATGAAGTCAATACTTCTTTTTAAAGATCAGTAAAGGGAGTTACAGAGAGGTCAACCTATCCACATGTGGTAGGCTAAAAATTACACCCGCCCCCCAAACCCATATAAGCATTCCTAATCCCAGAACATATAAATGTTTCCTTACTGCAGATGTGTTGAAGTTAATGATTTTGAGATGGAGAGATTGTCTTGGATCATCTGAGTGAGTCCTACCTGTAATCACAAAGGCCCTCAGAAGAGGGAGGCAAGATCAAAGGAGGAAGAAGGCAATGTGATGATGGCAGCAGAGATTGGAGTGATGTGATCACAAAACAATGGATTCTGCAAGCTTCTAGAATCTCAAGGAAATAAGCGATGGATTCTCTCTTAGACATATTGTCAGCCCTGAGGATACCTACATTTTATCTCCATAAGGCTAATCTCAGACTTCTCACCTCCAGAACTCTAAGAAAATTAATTTGCATTGTCTCAGGAAACTAAATTTTGGGTAATTTTTTTATGGCAGCAATAGGCAACTGATATACCAAGGTTAATTGTGCATTATGGAAGTTTCAGGACAGTTCAAGAAACTGTTCCTTTCACCTCCTGTAATTATTTTTGCAAAATTGTAATAATTTTGAGTTTTGGATTTATCTAGAACATAGCAGCAAAGAAAATCCTTCAACTCCACAATGCAGACTTCGATAGAAGTTAAAGAAATGTATTTTAATAACCCCAATCTTTAAAAAAAATCAATATATTTTCACGTTGACATGTATGTCTATGATGTAAAGCATAAAGGGGGAAAAAGAATAATAGAAAAATGTAAAATAGGAAGCCATGTCTTTCTATACATTCATCTCTTTTCTTCTGACTATGTGGAAGGAGCAGCATCCTGGGAGGGGGAAGAACACCTTCATGGAGTTGCAGGTGGGGACCAGCAGCAGAGAGACAGGTGGCTCACAACAGAGGTGGGTATGGAAAGTATCTCCTAATGACAAGGTGCATGGCCAACTGAACAGCACAGGAGAGACATGAGGCAAAATCCCCTCTATCAAAAGTCTCCTAGAGGGAGGTCAGTCCTAAGTGAGGGATCAGGGGTGGGAGCCGTGATCCAGATGCTCCTCCATGGCCAGTGACCTCAGGGCTATTAGCATTCAAGGCTGGCATCCTATTTTCTGTAGCACCTATGGATTCTATGTCCCTCTTCCCTTTTGGGAACCTATGATTGTTCCTGGAGAAGCGATTAGTTGTCCCTGAAAACATAAAAGGCAGCTTCTGACAGGAGAAGTTTCATTCAGGGAATATGGAGAATGAAGTGAAACTGGGGCAGTGGTGGACGTATTTTGATCCGGAGATGCAGTTCTGACTCTGCTCTGGTCTCATATATCTATATAAAGCCTGTCAAGGTGAGCTTCATGGATGTGTGACTTGTAGGTTTGCTCAAGGATCTGTGCTTAGAGGGTTTAAAGCTCTGTAATGTCATCTTCAAATTTAAATTATATTTAAACAATATGCTTGGTATTTTCCTTTTGTGCCACACCTTCTGAATTGTGTAGCTGGCCCTGATCTGTGTCTTTATTGGAAATAGGAAAACTGTTACCTGGGATACTTCAGGTGATCAAAGTCATTCATACCAATAATTGGTCCAATAATATGGCCATTTACACCATCATTTCCAAATCTATCTGCTTCCCTCTATTGGTAGCAACACTATTGTGCTCTACTTCATGCCACATCTGGTCCCCTTATTACCTATCCTCATGCTTAAGCATTGACTAACCCACTTTCTCAATCCAGTGAAGCAAAATGTGTAATCAAAATTTAATATATTTGTGGTGATGGAACAGACAACTAGAACATCTAGTCAACCATGAGAGATTCAACAGCCTGCCTCTCACCTGGAAACAATTTCTAGAGCCTTTTGGATCCATCCACTGGTAAATCTAGAATAAGCTGCCTCTGTCTGGGCCTGGAGAGGGAGAAGATAGGAAGGCTGAGAGGGAAGGTTGCATTTACTCCCTGGGTGCATCTTTATATGTCATGCAATGCAGACTTTTAACCCTGCAAGAACCATATGAAAAAGCAAACAAACAAACAAACAAATGCAGAGAGATTGTGATCATTGGGAGACTTTTCCCAGGCCTCTCCTTCCTTGTTTCCTCTTGGCTCTCAATGGTTTATACCCCTTTGGCTTTGTACCTGAGTTTTGTTAATTTCTGCATGAGTAACTTGAGACGCTCCTAAAAGAGTAGACTCAAAACCCATATTGCACCATCACTAGCCAGATCCGATGGTAAACCCAGTCCCATGTCCAACTTTCTTTTTCCAGAATGACCCCGCAGTCTCTCACTGCACCAGGGAAGGTGATAGACACTGTGCCTGGCCTTTTGGGGCAAGATTTATGTCATTTATTAAGGGCCTTTGGATCCACTACCATAACCCCAAACACCAAATATACATTAGCTTTGGTAATTTTGGTACAAGAGCAAGCACAGGGAGGAAATGGTTTCAAGTTGGCAAAATTGAAGCAGCCACCAATTTAGGGGAAATATTACTGTCTCTTTAAAGGCAAACAGTTCCTCCTCTAGCTCCACCCAATCTATGCTGCCTGGCTCAGTGGTTTAAAAGGGTGTGAATACTTTTTCTTCACAGTTAAAACAAAAGCACCAGCTCGAAGAGTGTCTTTGGAGTCAATTTGAGAACTCATCAACTGGTTGAAAAGAAGGTGAGTCTGGCTGAGAAGCAGCCCTGAGCACTAGAGTTGTTTGGGCAGTAGGTCCATGCAGTGTTCATGGTGTGGGTTCTGGTCCCAGGAAGAACCAGGTTCTGTGCCAGAAGCAGAGAGGGGGTGTAGGGGTGGGGGGAGGAGGGTGCTGTCAGAGGGTAGTGAAGGAGGGTAGGGAGGGGAGTCAGGAGCTTTATTAGTACAACTAGAAGCCTGATCCATGAAATTCGTGCAAGGGGCTTGGCCAACACAGCCCTGACAACCTGCCTCTGCTGGCACTTGCAGCCCGGGCTTCTTCTGGAAGGACGCCCAGAAGGTTGTTTCGTCTAATTAGCATATTATGCTTTTATTATTATAGTTGTTACATGTCTCATATTGAACAGGATACTTTTGTGCTGACTGGTGCACCTTCATGCTAACTGCCTCCTTTTACTGAAAAAAAAGCAGGATCCCAGAGAGTGTGGTGATTCTAGGGGTTGCCCACATCACTAAGGCCAGATGAAATCTGCACTGAAGTTTGCTGAATCCTTTCCGTCATTTAGCAGAGAGAAGCTCTGACCAGAGTAGTGCGACCTGTGAAGTGAGGACAGGGTGTCATGGGTAGAGGTGGGCTATTCTGCAGGGACAATGTATCTGAAACCCTCCAGGAAAGAGTGTGGATCTCTTCCCTGCCCTCTCTTGATCTAGCTCTGATTCGATGTAATTTTAGAATCCTGGGTCTGAGAAGACACTGAGAGGAGGCCGTTGTGTGCAGTGGTTAGGAGGAAGGTGGTAGTCAGACAGACTTTGAATTTGATACCTCCTCTGCCCAATACCTGTTAGCACTGTGACCCTGGGCAAGTGTCTCGGCATTTTCAAGGCACATCAGTGTCTTTAAAAAGTTAAAATAATAAAATTAGCTTTTTGCAGGTTATTATGGAGGAGTAGGTGAGATAATGTACAAAAAACTATCAGCGTGGTTGGTAGTGTCATCAGTGATTGTATTACACACATATCAATTTTTTTATAGTTGAAAAATGTTAATTTACTCAAAGATAAATGAACAATACAAGGAACTTCCATGTACCTAGACCAAGCTTCCACAATTATTAAGTGATGCCAATCTCGTTTTATCTATATACTCACCACTCTCCAGCCACCGCATATTATTTTGAAGCAAATACCCTTGTTTCATTTTATCAGTAAATCTTTGTAACCATTTAAAAACATGACCATAATCAGACTTCAAAAGGCAAGTAGAATTTTTAACAGAGTTCCCAGTTGCCTTCAGATTTCCCTGATTGTGTCATAATTCAAAAAACTGTTTGAAGTTGGATCCATTTAAGATTCATAAATTGAAAATGTTTGGTTTCTCTTATGTTTAATTTAATATATAGCTTTCTCACCTTCCCTGTTTCTTTCTGGAAAATTTCTCTGTGTAAGAAGGAGGACGTCTTTTTCCCAAAAGAACTGGACAGTTTACATTTTGTTGATTAACATTCTCACGGTGTCATTTCACCTGCTTTTCTAGTTCCAGTGTTTTGTGGGAACTTATATTTGAGGAGAGGCTTGATCTGACTCAGGTTTGACTATTTGGTGGGAATACATCATAGGTTCAGCTGTAAACTTCCCTCAGAAGAACATAATGTTTGGTTGTCTCTCATTCTTTGACAGTAATCGACATTAATGATGGCCTAAATTTCATTAAGGGTCAGAAGGGATTGTTAGGTCCCTGAAGGAGGAACACACCAGGCCAGAGTGGTGAGGGATTATGAATTTATTCAATCATCTGCACAGGAGGTGGCTGAGCCTGGATGGCTCCAGCCCCCAGTGATTGGAGTCAGAGGCTTTTAAAGGAGTTTTGGTGGGCTTTTTCTGGGCGGAGACTTTTTTATTCATACCCAGAAGGGAGATAATGGAATGTGGTCAACTCAAGTGAAATATGGTCTCAGCAAAGGGAATGTCCATAGTGAAATAGCCTGAAAAGCCAGTTCCCGGGGGGAGGGGTAGTGATTCAATTACTAGATCAAACCTAATAGTGATGATATCAAATCCTATCATTCTTCCCTTAGTTATTAGATCAGTGGTTCTCAACCTTCTGGCCCTTTAAATACAGTTCCTCATGTTGTGACCCATCCATAAAATTATTTTCGTTCCTACTTCATAACTGTAATGTTGCTACTGTTATGAATCGTAATGTAAATATCTGATATGCAGGATGGTCTTAGGCAACTCCTGTGAAAGGGTTGTTTGACCGCCAAAGGGGTTGCAACCCACAGGTTGAGAACCGCTGTATTAGATGGAAAAATCTTATAAAAAGAAAGTTCCCTCCAACCATTCTCTCATTTCCATGAAGTACAGTGGTATCTGAAAGACAAGATACATGCTCAATTCTTTCCCTTTATTTGCCAATGTTCATAAAAAGAAGATTCTTTCCTAGCACACTTCCAAGGGAGTGATTGACTATTATAAGTAGGAGGCCTTGTTATGAACTCATGTATTTTAAGATATCTGATATATTTTGATTCATTGGTGTAATTATCGATGCTCACATTGCCCCATCCATGTCCAGTTGCATTCTCTTGAGGTTTGCTCTTAAGTCCTTTCCATAAGATCCCTGTGATTTTTGAGAGCATCCTGGCTTTCTTGTTGACAAGAGAGTGAAGGCTCAACTGAAGCATTTTCTGCCTATTCCTGGAATCAGTAGTTTATTTATAAAACCCTAATTTTTTTGGTGGGAAATGGCATTTGGAAACCACACTCTAGGCACTAAGGGTGGTCATTGTCACCGGGCTCATTATTATCTCTATTCCTTTTCAATGGACTTCAAATTGCACACACACACACACACACACACACACACACACGCACACCCGAATAGGATTTTTGAAAACAATGTATTTCAGGTTATTTTTTTAAAAAACTTAAGTTAATACCACTAAAGATGGACAATGAAATTATTGCTTTTTTAAGTGTCTTGGACCAATTCCTTATATGGTTCACCCACCCCACAATATACAATTAGATTTGTTTGCCATTTGATTTTGGTTTTTGTATTTTAAAATATATTTTTTGTATAATTATGTAAGTTACCTACATGGTTTCAAGATAAAATCTATGAAATCTTAGTGTAACCAAGAAACCCAGTTTCCAGCTTCTGTCCCTGTCCCCTCCACCCTGCTTCACCCATCCCCATGTAAGTAAACTTTTGTTGGTTTAGTTTTCAGAGTATTCTGCCATTGCCTTTTGATATATATGAAAAAGTTATGTGTTATATTTTATATATGTAGTGCATATCCTCCTAATTAGAGAAATGATAGGTCAACTCCACATTATTTTCTTCACTTTCTTTTTTCCACTTAATGATGAATCCTGGGGACCTCTCCATGCTTGTATAGAGAGACACATTACTTTCACAGTTGGATAGTCCTTCACTGTGCGGATATACCTTAGATAATTCAACCAGTCCCTACTGATGGCCATTTGACAGGTTTTTGGTATTTTGCTAATACAAATAATGATGCAATAAATAGCCTGATGCGTCATTTTTCTACATTTTTGTCAGTGTAGTTAAGGGATAAATATTAAAATGGGGAATTGGCAATGAATGAGAAAATGCATATGTACTTTTGCAGGACAGTGCTGACTTCCCTTCTGTAGGATTTGGACTGTTTTTCCATTCTCACCAGCCATGCAGGAGAAGGCCTGCTTCCCTCATACCTTTGCCAACAGATTATGCTGGCAAACATTTAGACCTTTGCCAAACCTGGAGGTGTCAAGTAGTATCTCACCTCAGAAATAGAGGTGTGATTTAATTAATATTTTTAGTGAATTTATTTTTTGTGTTTTGATTTATTTTTCTCTGAGTGTATGTTAATGTATTTTTATATATTCAAGGTACATTTAAATTCATTTTTCTCTGAATGTTTATTTCCCATCTCTGCTCCATATTCTACCAAGTTGCTGTTATTTGGTTTCTGTACTTTTTAATTGTCTGTATCTAACAGAAACATTTACCCCCTTTGTTGTAAGCTGAAAAATATTACTGTACCTGCTTTTAAATTTTTGTTTTAATTTTTCAAAGATGTCTTTTGTCCCACATTATCTGTAATATTTTTATGTAATCACACTTATTCATCTTTTTCCTTGCTCTATTTCAAATCTTAGAAATATTTTCCTTACCTCCAGGTTACAAGTCACCATGTGTGTTTTTTCTTTTATTTACATAAATTTTTTTTTTTACATTTAAACTTCTCATCTGCTTGCAATTTGAATGACATGAGGCAATGGATGCAATTTTATCTTTTTTTTGTAGGGTTATACAGTTATCCCAAAGTTGCTTTATTACAACATCTTTGGCCTCTTTGATGTGGTATGCTGCTATATTGAATCTAACTGTAACATAGTGTCATTGAATTGAATATAAATGAATAATATATGATTAATTTGGTCTCTTTCTGAATTTTTTGTTTGGGGTTCACTGTTCTCTCTATTCGTATAACAAAATCACACTTCTGTAATTATAGAAACTACAAATGCTTGACTCCTGGTAAAGCTAGTCCTTCCTCCTTGTTCATTTTCTTGATAGTGCTGAATAACTTTCTTTTTTCTTCATCTAAATGAACTTTGTAATCCACCATTTAACTTTATAATACACTATTTTTCACCTGCATAAAAAATTGGTGATGATAAAAGTTTAAATTTACAGTTATATAAAATAATGTTAGAGAAGTACCTACTTTTTCTGCATCCCAAAACTTTATAACCTGCTATTTTAACTTTATAATCCACTCTTTTTCAGCTACAGGGAAAAAGTGATGATAAAAAATTGAAGTTTATAAAATCATGTTAGTTAATTATCTATTAATTCCAATGTATAAAATGCTTTAAACATGGATCAGTGGTGAATTTAGTCAACTGTCTTGACTGCATTAGGTAATTTTCTACATTTATCAATACGATGTGTTGTAACAAATTTTGGTATAAATATTTCCAAATGAGACATGCCTCTAGATTTATTTATTGGTCAAATCTCTGTTAGCCTTTAGGATCAATATCACACTTGATTCAGAGAAAGAATTGAAAGATTTCCCTCTTTTTTATATGATCAGGAATAGCTCACATAACATTGAGATGATCAGATTTGTAGAGGTCTGAGTTTTTCTGTGATAGCACCTGGACCTTGTACTCCATTGTGGAAAAACTCTGCTTTATTATTTTTTCCATATGAATAATACAGCAGTACAAATTTTCAGGGAGGACAAGAACAAAGAAAAGAGGTTTGGGAATGGTCCCCACTTACCTAAGTACCCTTTCCCCTTCTCATTCCCTTTCTTAAGGTCTTGTTGGTACCTGCATCTCAGAGCTTCTTGAGAAGATGGCTGGCCTTCAGGACAACACTCTGAGGATTGTTCTGGTGGGGAAAACCGGAAATGGAAAAAGTGCAACAGGAAACTCCATCCTTGGGGATAATGCATTTGAGTCTAAAATTGCTGCCCATGCTGTTACCAAGTCCTGTAAGAAAGAAGAGCGACACTGGAAGGGGAGAAACCTTCTTGTTGTGGACACCCCAGGGCTCTTTGACACCAAGGAGACACTGATGACCACCTGTAAGGAAATCAGCAGGTGTGTCCTCCTCTCCTACCCGGGGCCGCACGCCATCATCCTGGTTCTACAGCTGGGCCGCTACACGGAGGAGGAGCAGAAAACGGTTACATTGATCAAGGCCATCTTTGGGGAAAAGGCCATGGAGAACATGATCATCTTGTTCACTCGCAAAGATGGTTTGGGTGATCAGACACTGCATGACTTTTTAAAGGGGGCAGAAAACCTGCAAAGTATCATCCAGGAGTGTGGGAACCGGTGCTGTGCCTTCAATAACCAAGAAAGGATAGAGGAAACTGCGAAGGAAGCTCAACGGCAGGAGCTGGTGGAGCTGATAGAGAAAATGGTGCAGAAGAATGGAGGGGCTTACTTTTCTGCTCCCATCTACAAGGATATAGGGAAAAAGCTGCAACATCAGAAAGAGGCCTTGAAGATAATCTATGAAGATCAATTAAAGAAGAAAACTAAATTAGTTGAAGATCTATATGCTCAGGGGAAAATATCAAAGCAAGAAATTGAGAAGGAAAAAATAATCTATTTTGAGATCTATAAAGAAAATATCAAAAATATTGAGGAAGAAGCTAAAAGAAATATATTTGAAGATATCGTCAAAAGAGTTTGGAGTGTACTTTTAGGAATATGGAATAAGTTTTGGAAATAATGTAAATTTTATTTTTGTTTCTTAATTTACTATGATTTGTTAATGTGGTTAATTATATTTTCCAAAGATGACTACAACAATATATTCTATCCCACCCATTTCTTCTTATAATCAGTTTGTTTTTCCTTCAGTTGAATTATAGGGTTTGTCCCCTACCTTGAAATTCAATGGGCTTTGTGACTGCTTTGACGACTACTGTGTGATTGTGACTTCAATAGGGAAAATGCCTCTTTACTCCCAAGGGTTTGTGAGCTTGGCACTTGGCCACCATGTGGTGAGGAAGCAGAGGTTGCCCATAAAGAGGCCACATGAAGAGAATTTAAAGTCACTGGCCCACCCCCCTGGCTGGTCTTTCATCTCCAGCAGAACCAACTTGCCAGCCCTGCATGTGAGGCAACATGGAAGCAGATTCTCCAGCTGACAACTGAGCCATCTCAGATGCAGCAAAGAGCAAAGATGGGCCACCCCCACTGCATCCTGCTTTCAGACTTGTGAGAAAAATAAAGATTGTTGTTGGTTTAAACCACTAGGCTTGGGATGGTTTGTTATGCTGTGATAGTAACCGCCACCATCTTCCCGGCTCACTCACCACCAATACCCACAAGGCTAACAAATGGAAGAAGTTACACAATTGGCATAATCAGGCAATAATATATTATGAAGAGTTCACAGACTCAACTTAGAAAAATGCAAATGAGAAATCCTTCATGTGTCAAGTGTCAAGTGTCAAGTGTTAACACCACCGGGATGCACATTTTTTCAGTCCACATCTGAGCACCATGTTAGTGAAGCAGCAGGCTTCTCCAGCAAGATGGTTCTGTGGTCCATGTGAGGCAGGATAGTAAGAAGCTAGGAAAATTCCTGGACAAATGGAATGGGGAAACTGAGATGAGAAATTTAACTGTTTGGGAGGCTTGTAGCCAGATTGTTAATCACAAGACCTCATCTTCCCCAACAAAGGGCACTTGAGAGCAAATGGTTTATGTTTAGTCCCTAACCAGAGAATACATAGCTCACATCACTCTGGTCTGGGAAGTAGAGCACAAAGAACCAGTTCATGCCATTTGTACCAGCTAAACCCAAGGGCAGATGAAGTCACAAAAACCACATTAAAACCAGGCACAACTAAGATAAAATAAAATAGTAAAACAGAGCAAAGAATAATCCAAAACTCCCCTATACACATACCTTGATGCATCAGCATATTAAAAATGCACCTGGACAACTGATTAGGAAAAAAAAAAAAAAGGAAAAATGTCATCAGGACAAAAACTTGCTCTAGCACAGGCCCATGCCCTATACCAGGCATGAACTTTTTATTTGTTCCTAAAATCTATGGATCCCCATGAGGGACTTGCAGCCAGCAGAGCAATGGGCAGTGGCAGCTGCACCCAGTCTCAGCCCCTGATCCTGTCTTCAAGGCCCCCTTTTCCCTGACTTCCCAGTGAGCTGACGCAGTCCCACCTTGACTCACTTCTTTCCTATAACATTTCTAGGGAGCCAAAGCAGCCCCAGCTCGGTTCTCTCCTATTGTTTCTTCTACCCTAAACCCTTCCTTTATTTCACTGTCCCCAGTTTTAATAAACATCCTCTCTCCTGTACCAAGTCAAGAACTCAGACATTATGCGCCAGTCCCTGTCTGATAACACATGGATGTTTGGAAGTTGCCAAATTCTCTTGTTTATTTTCCCTCTTTTCTTTTTTAGGTGCCATCCTAAAACGTCCCTGACTATAACTTAAAAATCTCTACTGTGTTAAATATATTTCCTTTGCATCTGTAGATCCACACTTTGCCCTCTTTCAACCTAGATCTTTGCCTTAGGAGGCTGATCTATGTGGATCATCTTGTTACAAAACTCAAGGGCCTCTCCACTTGGGGTGTCCTATTCAAAAAGGAGACATGGTTGTCACAGGATAGTTTTATTTACTTGTAGCAAGTTAAACAGATAGGGGATTAATATCAAAAGCTCTGTCTCCCCAAATGGAGAGGCTTAGCCATTCTTTACACTATTTGGTCAATTACACATTTATTTATTTTTATATTTTTTCTGTTGGCTACACTTACATAGGTTTCAGGTGCACAATTCTAAAACACATCATCTGTACAATCTATTGTGTGTTAACCACCCCAGTCAGGTCTCCTTCCATCATCTTGTATCCCCCATTCTCCACCTCCCCACACACACCTACTCACCTCACTGTTGTCCTTGTTCATTATTTTTTTTCTTATTTTTTCTTTTTTACTCATTTCCCCCAGATCCCCACCCCCATGACAGCTGTCAGCCTGCTCTCCATCTATGAGTCTGTCTCTCAAAAACATATGCTTTTAAAAAAACAGTCTCATCTATGTTTTTAGGCAAATATAAAAAATGGAGTATCTAAGGCAATGGTTCTCAAGATCTTTCTTCCTATTAAAAAGCATCTTGTGTTCCTAAAACTTTTCCTAAATTGGAATTAGGGATTAACAAATTTCCATGGTGGAGAAAATCATCATCATCTCCTCCACAGAGGTCTGAGATCTCAGCTCAGAGTCTAGGTCTCAGCCCCTCACATACATGTTCACATCAAGGAATGATTTTGGTGCATATCATCACACAACACACAAGTGGTTGTTGAGGCTTTGGTGGTAGAGTAAGTGGTATGGTAGGGCTACAGGGTATTAGAAAATTGACAGTCATTACATTAGTTGTGGTGGTGGTTTCACTGGTGCAGTATATGCAGTATATGTCTAAAACACTTATTGAAATCTTTTTTTCCATTTTAAATCCGGTGATTTGTCTTTAATTAATGGATTGCAAGAGTTCTTTATACATTGTGTTCTTTGGCAGGTTTTTATTAAATACCAGAGGCCTGGTGCACAAAAATTTGTGCACTCGGGGCCGTCCCTGAGCCTGGCCTTTGCCTTCTCCCAGTCTGGGATCCCTCGGGGGATGACCACCTGCTGGCTTAGGCCTGCTCCCTGGGGGATTGGGCCTAAGCTGGCAGCCAGGCATCCCTCTGGCAGCCCAGGAGCCGTCGGGGGATGTCCACTTGCCAGTGGGGAGCAGGCCTAAGCTGCAGTCGGACATCCTTAGCGCTGCTGAGGAGATGGGAGAGGCTCCCACTACCACTGCTGTACTGGCAGCCGTCAGCCTGGCTTGTAGCTGAGCAGAACTCCCCCTAGTGGAGTGCACTGAACACCAGGGGGCAGCTCCTGCATTGAGCGTCTGCCCCTGGTGGTCAGTGTGTGTCATAGTGACCAGTCATTCCCAGTCTTTCTGCTGTTAGGGTCAATTTGCATATTGCCCTTTTATTATATAGGATAGAGGCATGGTGCATGGGTGGGGCCAGCTGGTTTGCCCTGAAGGGTGTCCCAGATCAGGGAGGGGGTCGTGCTGGGGTGTCTGGTCAGCCTGGGTGAGTGGCTGATGGCTGTTTGCAGGCTGGCCACAGCTCCTTCAAGGTGGGGGTCCCCACTGGGGTGCCTAGCCAGCCTGGGTTAGGTGCTAATGGCTGTTTGAAGGCTGGCCACAGCCCCTTCAGGGTGGGTGTGCCCCCTGGGGTGCCTGGCCAGCCTGTTTGAGGGGCTGATGACTGTTCGCAGGTTGGCCATGGCCCCAGTCACCCAAGCTTTCAGTGGAGGCTGGCTGGAAGCAGGTATCTGGGATTTATTTATCTTCTATAATTGAAACTGTTGCCTTGAGCCGAGGATACAGCCTGTCAGGGCAGGCAGGAAGCTTGGCTTCCCCCATTGTCAGGGCAACCAAGACTCCTGCTTACTCCAGCTCTGTGGCTGCGGACTGCCATCTTGTTTGGGTTAATTGCATATAGTCACTCTGATTGGCTTGTCGGTGTGGCTTGTGGGTGTGGCTTGTGAGTATAGCGGAGGTATGGTCAATTTTCATGTTACCTTTTTATTAGATAAGATGACAAACAGCAGTCTAGTCTAGTTTCATTCTTTTGCATGTGCCTTTCTAGTTTTCCTGGCATCATTTATTGAAGAGGATTTCTTTTTTCCAATATATGTTTATGGCTCCTTTGTTGAAAATCATTATCCATATAAATGTGGATTTATTTCTGAACCCTCAATTCTCTTCCATTGATCAGTGTGTATACATTTCTGCCAATATACTGTTTTGATTATTGTCACTTTGCAGTATAATTTGAAGTCAGGGAGTGTGATACCTCTGACTTTATTCCTTTTTTGTCAGCAATGCTTTAGCTATTTGGGGTCTCTTGTGGTTCCACACAAGTTTGATGACTTTTTGTTGTATTTCTTTTTTAAATGCCATTGGATTTTGATGGGGGATTTCATTATATCAGTATATTGCTTTTGGGAAATATGGACATTGCAAATGGCAAGACTTTGGTTTTTTTATGGCTGACTAATACTCTCTCTATAGATAGATAGATAGATAGATAGATAGATAGATAGATAGATAGAGATAGATATACTAGAGGCCCAGTGCATGAAATTCATGCATGGGGGGTGGGTGTCCCTTAGCCCGGCCTGCCCCCTCTCACAGTCCAGGAGCCCTCAGGGGTGGGAGGCAACCCAGCGATCAGGGGAAGGCATGCCCCATCACACCTCTGCTGCTGCCACTTCCAGTAATAGATATAGATATAGATATATAGATATAGATATAGATAGATATAGATAGATAGATATATATCTATATATAGAGCTAATATGCAAATGGTTGTCACACCATCATGCCATAATGGCTCAGACACTAAACACTGGGGAGAGAGGAATGGGGACCAGCCAGGCACAAATGAACTCATGAGAGAGGAATGTGGACCAGCCAGGCTGCAGCCTGGGAAGGGGACAAGCCACCACCCCACCATCCCGGGAGCCAGAGGCTGCACCTGCACCTGTGGCCCAAGAGAGTGACTAGTCACCCGCCCTGTGGTCCCGGTCACCAGCCACTGGGGCTGCGGCCTGGGAGAAGGACAAGCTGGCCACCCTGTGGTCCCGGGTGCCAGCACCTGCAGCTGCAGCCTGGGTGAAGCCGCCCACCCACAGTCTCCTGTGGCCTCTGCCAGCCCTGGTGAAGCCAGCCCGGGTCCTGGGTGCCTGCAACCAGCTAGAGGAGGGAATCCTGGGTCCCGAGTGCAGGGCGAGGCAGAAGAGATTAGGGGCCATCAGGCAGGCAAGCAGGCGAACAGTTAGGAGCCAGCGATCCCAAATTGTGAGAGACAGTCGGACATCCCCCGAGGGGTCCTGGATTGGAGAGGGTGCAGGACTGGCTCAGGGACTCCCCCACCCATACACAATTTTCGTGCACTGTGCCTCTAGTATATATATAATCAGAATTTATTTATCTATCCATCCATATGTTTCTATGTCTTGGCTATTGCAAATAATGCTGAACTAAAAGAGGAGTGCAGATATCTGTTCAGATAAGTGTTTTTGTTTTCTTCAGCTAAATATCCATTAGTAGAATTGCTGAATCATACATATGTCATATGGTAGTTCTATTTTTAAAGAACTTCCATACTGTTTTTTACAGTGGCTGCACCAATTTACATTCCCACTAACATGGCAAATGGTTTCTCTTTTCTTCTCATTCTTGCCAACACATTTTTTTAAACATTAATTATTGAGTTGAACAGTCTGTATATCCCTCCTTTTTCTGAGTTTTAAAGATATCCCAAGTTTTGGAATTTATCAAATCTAAGAATTCCTGACAGTAATGATTTTGATCATTTTTCTCAGTAGTATACATTAACAGTTCACATAATGCATGGTTAGTTATAGACACATAAATCAAGTTTAAAGAAATAGTAGGTAACAAACACAGTAAATAAATAAGTGTACCACATTACCATGACCCAGATACTCTAAAGGTGAACCTTAGTGTCTACCCATGTATCCGTCCAGTTCCTTTTCTGTATGTGGTACATACATACATGGGCACACACACACTCCCGACTGCTGTGGCATGAAGGTTCACAGGTGCAACACTTCAAAACTACAGGAGTCATAGTCCAAAAGTTCCACAAAGCCAACAATTCTGGTCTCCTGGGGAAGTACCATCCCGCACCCTCACTGTCCTTGCTTCCTCCTTCCAAATTCCATCCCTGGGCAAGTCCTTGGTTCATCATTGGGAGAATCTGCTCTTGAAATCTTTAAGGGTCTTGGCCATCATCAGTGCAATGTGCTCCCAGGCTTCTTGCTGCTGCTGACCATCTGTGCCAAGTGGGCACTGGTGGTGCCTGTGCAGTCATAAGCCGGCTTCCCAGGGATGGGGTAAAAGCTGTGACTACGGGCACTGTTAGAGGAGCACTGATGCTTGTTGTGAGGTATGGGGGCTGGCATGACCTTGACTTTTTCCTGGACAGCTGCTCCTCCTATTTCAAATAAGGGGACAAAGATGGTCATTGTATGTTAGCCCTTGGGCCTATTGGCACTGATATTCAGTGTCACTGCTCACAGCCACTCCTCTCTGGCATCCTGAAGCCTCATGTGCATCTCCAACCATGATTCAGGTTCTTCTGATCTTTCTAAAAGTTGCAGTGACAATGCCTCTTCTATAATTGATCTGTTTCTTCAGCTAGTGCACCAGTGTATTTCTCTAGGCGATGTAGCTGATCAGGTGTAGAACTCTCCAAAATGGATTCAAGAACAGAATATGGAACTCCTCCCACTCGAAAGAGTAAGTTGACATTGTTTCTAAGGACCTGGATACATTCCTGGATCAAGGTCATCATTTTGCAGCAACAAGCCCACTTGGAACCATCCTAGAGTGCACTCTGAGTCCTGTAATCCCACCTTCTTCCTCTTCTTGAGGTGAAGCTAGTGCTCTTTCCTTTGGTTGGAAGGAGGGCACCAATTCAAAGGCAGGAAGCAGATGGTAAGTCCTGCCTTAACTACTTGGCTGAACCCTGAATGATCAGAGGTCTGGCAACATGGGTGACACATCAGGAGGGACCTTTTTCAGCTTGGCCCCTTCTGCTCCAGATGTCTGTGGCTTCTCTGACTTGCCTCCGTTTTCTACTTTTTTTTTATCATAGCCATTCTAACAGATGTGAAGTTGATATCTTACTGTATCACTCACCCAAGGATATTTCTATTGATTTTAGAGAGGGAGGAAGGGGGAGAGAGAGACAGAAAGAGAAACATTGATGAGACAGATAAACAGCAATCAGTTGCCTTCTGCCTGCACACACCCTGACAGGGAATCTAGCCTGAAACCTAGGTATGAGCCCTGACCTGGGATCAAAGCCACAGGCTTCCAGTGAACACGATGATGCTCCAACCAAAGAGCCACCAGGTGTTGATTTGTATTTCCCTGATGGTTAGTGGTGTTGAACATCTTTTCATGTACCTGTTGGCCATCTGTAGGTTTTCTTTGTAAAAATGTCTATTCAGATCTTCTGCCCATTTTTAAATTAAACTTGCTGTGTCCTTTTTTTTGTAATTGAGTTTTATGATTTCTTCGTATATTTTGATATTAGTTTCTTATCAAATGTTTGATTTGCAAATATTTTCTCCCATTCAGTAGGTTGCCTTTCCATTTTGTTGATAGTTTATCTTGCTGTGCAGAAGCTTTTCAGCTTGATATTGTCTCATTTATTCATTTTGTTTTTGTTTTTAGATTCAAAACATTATCACCAAGCCCTGCATCAAGGAGCTTACTGCCTATGCTTTCACCTAAGCATTTCATGGTCAGATCTTATGTTCTTCAATTCTCTAATCCATTTTGACTTAATTTTTTCATATGATGTAAGGTAGTGGTCAACTTTTTTCCTTTAGTATGTGACTATGTAACCCACCCCACCATTCTTTTCACATTATTTCTAAAAATGATGAGCTGTTATGTAACATGTTACCACAGACAAACAGCCTCTTAGCTTAAGAACTGTAGAAACTAAGGCCAAAACAAGCAGACTGACAGTTAGACATTATGGCTCTCAGATATTTGCTGACCTTCAACAGGTTATCTGAACAAACCATCTTGGCTTGCACTTAGTCCCCTTCTCAGAGATCTCTGAACTCCCTTAATTAGATTTCTTTGTTCTGTTTTATTTTCTTCCTCATTACAAAACTCCCTGCCCATGTCCAGTTGTTAGGATGGTCTTTGTAATGAGAGTTGCCTGTCTTCTCAAGCAGCTGGCTCTTCAATAAGCCTACTTTTCTGCCACCAACCTCTGTCTCTTGATTATTGGCTTTCATGCAGCCAAACCTGGGTTTGGTATCAGAATTAGTGTGCCAGCTAGGAAGTCTTGGACCCCGACAGGTCTAGCCCTTTTCAGTCCACATGCTGCGTGGGGCAGGCCAACCCCACATCAGAGACTCCAGGGACATCCCAGCAGCTGCCTAGAGTTTCTTACCTCAATGACTCTCCCTGATCACCCTCTCACTCTCATAGCATCAGCTGCCTGCAAAAAATTTATTGGTGGAATAAATTCGTCATTAAGGAAGTGGTTGGGCTCCAAGCCTGGGTAAGTTTAACAGGTGTGCATACCTGCAATCCTCTATCTCCTCCATTTGGACTGTGTGACAGTTGGACCTTGTAAAAGTCATTTGTGTACTTGGTTTGTGTGAGATAAGATTCTAAGACTAGTGTCTCACACCTTCTTTCTGGAGGATTTGGCTTGAGAATACTCATTTGTTTGAGTTTTATCTTTGTTTTTTGTTTTTGTTTTTTGTTTTTTTATTTTACACTTTTTTAAAAATATATTTTATTGATTTTTTACAGAGAGGAAGGGAGAGAGATAGAGAGTTAGAAACATCGATGAGAGAGAAACATCGACCAGCTGCCTCCTGCACATCTCCCACTGGGGATGTGCCCGCAACCCAGGTACATGCCTTTGACCGGAATCAAACCTGGGACCTTTCAGTCCGCAGGCCGACGCTCTATCCACTGAGCCAAACCGGTTTCGGCTATTTTACACTTTTTTAAAATTGTTATTTATTAAGGTATTACAAATGTGTTTTTATCCCCCCATTATCCCCCTACACCCCCCCCACTCATGCCCTCATCCCCTGTTGTCTGTATCCATTGGTTATGCTTATATGCAGGCATACAAGTCCTTTGGTTGATCTATCCCCCTTCCCCCCACCCTCCTCTACCTCTGAGGTTTGAGCATCTGATCGATGCTTCTCTGTCTCTAGATCTGTTTTTGTTCATCAGTTTATGTTGTTCATTAAATTACACAAATGAGTGAGATCATGTGATATTTATCTTTCTCTGATTGATTTATTTCACTTAGCATAATGCTCTCCAACTCCATCCTTGCTCTTGCAAATGGTAGGAGTTCCTTCCTCTTTACTGCAGCATAGTATTCCATTGCATAGATGTGCCAAACTTTATTTCTGTTTTAAAATGGGTGGCTCAGTCTCAGTTCCACCAGAGAGTCCATTAGGCCTTTTCTAGCTGATCGATCAACTTACCGCTATAAGCCAATGGCTAATTGGAATTGTTTTGCCAAAGGTCTGGTAAATGGGTTAGGTTTTTGTCTTATTCATAAGCTTTCATGATGTTACATAATAAATATTCTATTCAAAAAGGATATACATCAGCGGTTCTCAACCTGTGGGTCGCGACCCCTTTGGGGGTTGAACAACCCTTTCACAGGGGTCACCTAAGACCATCAGAAAACACATATATAATTACATATTGTTTTTGTGATTGATCACTATGCTTTAATTATGTTCAATTTGTAACAATGAAATTTGGGGTCACCGGAAGGCCTGTGGCTTAGAAAATAGGGACTTTCCCGATCCTACCCGCTGAATTGGACAAACAACCCAGAACGACCAAGCCACATCCTGCTGGACAATAGCTGCCACCCTGGGACCCACCAGAATAACCAAGTAACATCCTGTTGTGCTAACATTCTGATGGACAATAAATGACCACCCAAGACTTCTCAGGATGGCCAGGGTGCAGCTGTACAAACTTCCCGCTCATCAATCACCCGCCACAAGCTACCTCAGATAAACCTGATTGGTCCAACAGCAGCATAAAAAATCTCTGCCAGGCATAGGCGGGGGTGACCCCCCGGCCTGCACCCCCAGACCGTGGGACCTCACCCGAGAGCTTCCAATAAACGCGATATTTCGCTCTTACCCTGCTTGTCTTGGTCAATTTATTGGCTTCGGTCAGATTAAATCTTACATCTCAGATTAAACCTTACATTAAACATTATATCTTGGTGCCAAAACCCAGGAGGTCTACCACGCTTTTTGGCCAGGACCTCCCTGACCGGACCAGCTGGCCTCCAAACCGATCTTCGCCCAGCGGTGAGGTAAGCTTCCACCAGTTCTATTCAACTTTCCTAGGGACCCCTGTCTGTAGTTGCGGCCGCGCCAGGGAGCCCTCCTGTAAGGTATCCCAGGGATATCTTCCCCGGACTTGCCTTTCCGGTGGGGACGCCCCCGAGACGGCCTGTCCCCTGTCTCTGTATTCTGAGTTCTCCCAATCGGGGACGCCTGCTTGAGAGACCTCTCTGACCGAGACCTGAATCAGTATGGGCAGCAATTCCTCCAAGCCGAGCTCCAAAACACCCTTAGGGTGCGTTCTCTCCAATTGGCGCGAATTAGGGTATGATCAGAGGGAACAGAAAAAGCGATGCCTCATCCGATTGTCCACCGAAATATGGCCTCGCTACGCTCTGGACAATGGCCCCATTTGGCCCCCAGATGGCACTTTCGATTTCAGAATCTTAACTGACCTAGCTAATTTTTGCCAACGAACAGGTAAATGGCCTGAAATCCCTTATGCTCAGGCATTCTGGTACCTCCGCTCTCGCTCCCAGCTCTGTATGACCTGCTCTCCCACCCAAATTCTCCTTGCTAAAATAGACCCAAAAGCTTCCACTCCACAGGTTCCAGATCAGCGACCCGCGGGCGACTCGCCCCGGGCGGAGCCAGAGGACTCAGCACTAACCATCCTGCTGAAAGCGCTTGCAATACCCCTGGTCCCAGCGCCTCCACCTGTCCCTACGCCAACACCCTGGGTCCCAGCACCACTCTACCCCCAACTCCTGTCTGCGTCGACTCCCCCTCCCCCTCTGTACGCTCCCGCTTCTCCTCATACCAGGGACCCTAAACCTCCGCTGGTTTCTTCCCCTATAACAGGTCAGACCAGGTCAAACCACCCCACCCTTGCTGCTACCTGGACTTCCCCTCAGACCCCCCAGACTCTAGCTCCTCTCCAAGAGGTCACGGGACCTGAGGGAATCATCCGAGTTCATGTCCCCTTTTCTCTAGCCCATCTCTCTTCTATAGAAAAAAGGCTAGGCTCCTTCTCTGCTAACCCTTTAGAATTTATAAATCCAATAAGATTCTGTTTTCTTTATAACAGGACATGATTGTAAAGTGGTTTCATTAACCAGGACTTTGACTGGAATTTCATGTTTGGGAGAAACATGCCTAGACTCTGGATGTCACCAGAAACCTTTAAGGATTTAGGATTGACTTTGAAGCCTATAAAAGCCTTTTGAAAAACAGCCTGGTGCCTTGCCTATTCACATGATTCATGGCATTCTTTTTATGGAAGAAACAAAGGTTCTTTCCTGGGAGATGGCAAAGAAAGAGCCTCAAGACATTTTGAGGGACTAAAACACTAGAGGAATTTACCAAAAAATATGCGTATTGCAGTCAAAATGCAATGGCAACTATGTGGCTTGGTTTCTTCTCCCAGAAAGGCGAACTAAAGTTCAATTTTCCTGCCCTAACCGGTTTGGCTCAGTGTAGATAGAGCGTCTGCCTGCAAACTGAAAGGTCCCAGGTTCCATACAGGTCAAGGGCATGTACCTTGATTGCAGGAACATCCCCAGTAGGGTGTGCAGGAGGCAGCTGATCCATGTTTTTCTCTAACTGATGTTTCTAACTCTCTATCCCTCTCCCTTCCTCTCTGTAAAAAAATCAATAAAATATATATTTTTTAAAAAGTTCAATTTTCCTCAAACAGATTGTCAAACTGCAGCAGAAAGGCCGGGAAGGGTTGGGGGGCAGGAGGGAGGGGGGTAAGAGATCAACTGAAGGACTTGTATGCATGCATATAAGCATAACCAATGGACATAAGACACTGGGGGGTAGGGGAAGCCAGGGGATTGTCAAGGGCGGGGAAAAAAAGAAGACATATGTAATACTCTTTGTAATACTTTAAGCAATAAAATAAAAAAAGAAAGAAAAGAAAAAAATTTTTTTTTAAAGTTCAATTTTCCTTATGATACTGCAGCAAAGCAGATTTAGGAGAGCCTATACAGTCAATTGATAATCTTGTTTTTATGGAAATAATCAGGCCAAATTAAAACTTGACTTAATGCAGAAAAAAGTCATAAGTTGGCTAACTTTAATATAAATGAGGGTGGTTTTAAGGGGAGAAATTGTCTTTCAAAAGTATCTATAACACATTTTTGTGTATGTCAGATTCCTGTACAAATTATCTTGAAAGTTTTATTTCCACCTATACATTGACTGGATCCTGAATTTTTCTAGTTTTCTTAAATATTTGGGCTACAACCCTCTGAACTAATGTCTTATTTTTCTTTCATCATTTGACTTGAAGTTACTGAAACCTAAAAATTACCCCTGATCCTTGCAATTGGAAATTGCAGCTACACTGAATGAAATAAACTTGAAAAATCAGAACAGCATCCTGTTTAAGCCATGCAGAATGTACCTGATCACCTCATTGCATCACCACAGATATTCAAACTGCAGATAAGGAGGATCTGTCAGATGGTCACTGCTTGCTTTCATTCCAGCAGAAGGAACCTTGAGCCCCATATCTAGAAATAGCCTTTATTGACAGCCTTGCAGTCAGAAACTGGAGTGACTATTTATCACTATATAATGTTCATCTCTGTGTCTGTTCTGAAGTCTAATGTATTTGCTATCAGTACAATCTTTCCTTCCTTTTGCTTGAGTAATATTTGTACCATTTATCTTTTCCTTCCTTTAATTTTCAGTTTGTTTCAACCATAATATTTGAAAAGATTTTTATGAAAGAAGGCTATGGTTGTGTCATGTGTATTTCTTTTAATTTAAATTCTTTATTGCTTAAATTATTACATATGAGTCATTTTCCCACATTGACCTCTCCCTGACTGTTCCCACCACCCAGCACATGACTTCACCCCGCCTAGTGTCTGTGTCCATGGGTTATGCTTATATGCATGCATACAAGTCCTTTAGTTGATACCTTACTCTCCCTCACCCCCACCTTCCCTCTAAGGTTAGATGAACTATTCTATACTTCTCTGTCTCTGGATCTATTTTTGTTCATCAGTTTATGTTGTTCCTTATATTCCACAAATGAGTGAGATCATGTGAAATTTATCTTTCTCCAACTGGTTTATTTCCCTTAGCATAATGGTCTCCAGATCCATCTATGCTGTTGCAAATGGTAAGAATTCCATCTTTTTTACAGCAGTGTAGTATTCCATTCTATAGATGTACCACGATTTTTTAATCCACTCATCTGCTGATGGGCACTTAGGCTATTTCCAAATCTTAGCTATTTTAAATTATGCTGTTATGAATATAGTGGTGCTTATATCCTTTCTGATTGATGTTTCTGATTTCTTTGGATATATTCCTAGAAGTGGGATCACTGGGTCAAATGGGAGTTCCCTTTTTAATTTTTTGACAAAACTCCATACTGTTCTCCACAGTGGCTTCACCAATCTGCATTCCCACCAACAGTGCAGGAGGGTTCCTTTTTCTTCATATCCTTGCCAGCACATATCCTTTGTTGATTTATTGATGATAGCCATTCTGACAGGTGTGAGATGACAACTCATGTTCTTTTTGATTTGCATCTCTGGGATGATTGGTACTTTGAGCATGTTTTCATATATCTCTTGACCTTCTGTATGTCCTCTTTCAAAAGGTGTCAATTTAGCCCCTTTGCCCATTTTTTTGAGTTGTATGAGTTCCCTATTAATTTTGGAGTTTAAACCCTTATGGGATATAACATTGGCAAATTCGTTCTCCCATGCAGTTAGCTCTCTTGTTGATTTGTTGATGGTTTCTTTTGCTGTGCGGAAGATTTTTATTTTGATGTAGTCTCATTTGTTTACTTTTTCCTTTGTTTCCATTATCCTAGGGACTGTATTGGTAAAGATATTGCTACGACAAATGCCTGATATTTTGCTGCCTATGGAGTCTTGTAGGATTTTTATGGTTTCCTGTCTTACATTTAAGTCCTTTAGCCATTTTGATTTATTTATGTGTATGGTGTAAATTGTTGATCTAGTTTCATTTTTTTGCATGTATCTGTCCAATTTTCCCAACACCATTTATTGAAGAGACTGTCTTGACTCCATTGTATGCTTTGCCTCCTTTATTAAATATTAATTGAGAATAATGGCTTGGGTTGATTTCTGGGTTCTCTGTATTGTTACATTGGTCTGTATGTCTTTTCTTGTGCCAATACCAGGCAGTTTTGAGAACAGTGGCTTTGTACTATAGCTTGATAGCTGGTATTGTACTCCCTCCAACTTTGTTCTTCTTTCCCAGGATTGCTGCACCTATTCTGGGTCTTTTTTTATTCTACATGAATATTTGGAGAGTTTGTTCTAGTTCTATGAAATATGCGGTTGGTATTTTAATTGGGATTGCATTGAATTTATAGATTGCTTTGGATAGTATGGCCATTTTAATGATGTTGATTCTATCAATCCATATTCCACTTGTTTATACCTTCATCTATCACTTTATAAAACATCCTGTAGTTTTATTAGTACAGGTCTTTTACCTCCTTACTTAAGTTTATTCTTAGGTATCTTAATGTTTTTGTTGCAATGGTAAATCAGATCGTTTTTTAGTTTCTTTTTCTGAGAGTTTATTATTGGTATACTGTGGGTGACCTCTGAATGTCCCTCTCAGGTATGTTGGCAGTTACTGGGAAATGGAACCAACTATGGTCGAGGGTAGTCTGGGAAACGGGGCAAGTTTATAATAGTCTAGGAAATGGGGCAAGTTAATAGTAGTTAGAGCAACGGGGCAAAGTTATATTAATAGCTAGGGCAATGGGGCAAGTTGATATTAGTAGCTAGAGCAACGGGGCAAAGTTGATTAATAATACCTTGGTAACGGGGCATTAATGATTAATTATGGTTTTATGTAATTCACTTGTTTTAGTAACAGCACTTAGCAACAATGATTGATTGTATAACCTTGAAAGAAATAAATAGGTTGCAACGGTGATCAAAAGGTGCCGCTGGCTGGCCATTCACCTGCATGTTGTGTAGGCGTCTTAGTTTTCCTTTCCACAGTATACAAAAAGCCATAGTTTTCTGAGTGTTAACTTTGTATCTTGCTACATTGCCAAATTCATTTATTAAGTCTAGTAGTGTTTTGATGGAGTTTTTGGGGATTTCTATGTACAATATCAAGTCATCTGCAAATAATTATAATTTTATTCTACTCTCCCAATTTGGATGCCTTGTATACCTTCTTCATGTCTGATCACTATGGCTAGCACTTCCAGTACTATGTCGAATCAGAGTGGTGAAATTGGACATCCCTGTCTTGTTCCTGTTCTTGGGGGAAATGAGTTTAGTTTTTGCCCATTGAGTATGATGTTGGCTGTAGGCTTGACATATAATGCTTTCATTATGTTGAGGTATGATCCCTCTATTCCCACTTTGCTAAGAGTTTTTATCAAGAAATTTTATTGGATTTTGTCAAATGATTTTTCTGCATCAATTGATATGATTATGTGATTTTTGTCTCACGATTTGTTTATATGATGTATCGTGTTTAATAATTTGTGGATATTGTACCAGCCTTGCATCCCCGGAATAAATCCCACTTGGTCATGGTATATGATCTTTCTAATGTAATGATGGATCTGATTCGCTATAATTTTGGTGAGGATTTCAGCATCTTTGTTCATCTGGGGTACTGGCCTGTAATTCTCTTTTTTGTAGTGTCTTTATCTAGTTTTAGGGTAATGCTAGCTTTATAGAAATAGCTTGGAAGTGTGCCTTCCTCTTGAAGTTTTTGAAATATTCTGAGAAAGATATGTTTTAGTTGTTCTTTGAATGTTTGATAAAACTCCCCATATGAGCCTGGGCTTTTATTTGCTGGAAGTTTTTTTTTATTCAGTTTCATCGGTAGTTGTCAGCATATTCAGGGTTTTTTTATTCTTTCCTGTTTGAGTTTTGGAAGCTTGTATTTTTTCTATTAATATGTCCATTTCACCACATTGTCCAGTTTGTTGGAATAGAGTTGTTTGTAGTATTTTTTACAATCCTTTGTATGTCTGTGAGGTCAGTTGTTTCTTCACTTCTTTCATTTCTGATTTTTTTTATTTGGGTCCTCTCTTTCTGTTTCTTGATGAGCCTGGCTAGAGGTTCATCAATCTTGTTTATGCATTCAAAGAACTAGCTCTAGCCCTAGCTGGTTTGGCTCTGTGGATCAAGAATCAGCCTGTGGACTGAAGGATCATAGGGTTGATTCTGGTCAAGGGCACATGCCGGGGTTAGGGCTTGATCCTCAGTAGGTGACATGCAGGAAGCAGTCAATCAATGATGCTCTCTCATCATTGATGTTTGTATTTCTCTTCCCTCTCGCTCCCTCTCTGAAATCAACAAAGATATATGTGAGAAGAAAAACAATGCTAGCTACTAGTATTTCTATTCTTTATGCCTGTGTTCCTTCTTCTCTTTCTATTTCTTCTTTTTACAACTGTCCCTTTAGCATATCTTGCATTGCTGGCTTGGTAGTGATAAACTCCCTCTGCATTTTGTTTTTGTCTGTGAAGCTCCTGATTTCCCCTTCAATTTTTAATGATAGCCCTGCTTGATAGAGTATTCTTGAAATCAGTTTGTTGCTTTGCATCACTTTGTATATTTCATTCCATTCCCTTCTGGCTTGATGTGTTTCTGTTGAGAAATCACTTGATAATCTAATGTGAGATCCTTTGTAGGTAACTCTTTGTCTCTCTCTTGCAGCCTTTATAAGATTCTCTCTTTGTCTTTAATGTTTGCCATTATAATTATGACTTATCTTGGTGTGGGTCTTTTGGGGTTCAACTTGTTTGGGACTCTCTTTGCTTGTGTGACTTTTTCTTCCCCAAATCAGGGAAGTTTTCTGTCATTATTTTTTCAATTAGGTTTTCTGATCCTTGCTCCACTTCTTGTCCTTTGCTAACCCCTATTAATCATATGTTACTTTGTTTCATGTTGTTCCCAAACTCCCTGAGGCTCTCCTCCCGCTTTCTAATTTTTTATCCAGTTGCTGTTCAGATTAGGTGTGTTTAACTGTCCTATCATCTAATTCACTAATTTGGTCCTCCACTTCTTCTAGTCTACTGTTGAAACCTTCCATCGTGTTTTTTATTGTAGCTATATCATGTTTTTATTTCAGCTTCATTCTTACATAAGTTGTTGATTTTTTCATCCATCTGGTTTATGGACTGTATGACCCTTACTCTGAATTAATTTCAAAACATATTGCATACTGCTGTTTCACTTAGTTCCTTTTCTGGTGATCCTCCTTTTCTTTCCTTGGGGGGTTGTTTTATTGTCTCCCCACTTTTACTGTCTCTTTCTGGCCCTGTGCACCCTACTTGGGGCTTGTGAGATATTAGACCTATCAGGGCAATGATCCACAAATTGTTAGCCCAAAGCCTGGGTCTGCCTTGAGTCTCTTGCCTTTATTGTCTGTACTCTGAATTGTATCTACTTGTCCCATTAATCTGGTCCCTCAGTTGTCTCCTTCAGATGCTCAGGGTGGTGGGAGGGTGTGTACAGTTCTCTAATGTGCTATGCCCTTTGAGGACCCAGAGCCCTCTGGCATGCAATTTTCTGTGCAGCTTTGGCATCCATGGCAGCGTAGCACCATAGGTCCTTCTGGCTGTGCACTTGCACCACTGTCCTGTGGCCACTGGCTGAGCACAACAGCTTGAT